AGACGGATCTGAGAGGCAAGCAGCCCACAGAAGGAGACCAGTGTGGCCAAAGGGCAGAGAGCAAGGAGCTGCTCCAGTGTGATCTGGGAGCAGGCTGCTGGGAGCCCATTAGTCCCTGTTCCTTCGGCCTTCTTAGCAGGTGGGGAATGCCCTCAGGGTGGGTAAGACTCAGAACTATAGGTCAGAGTCCCACTGGAAGCCAAGCAGGAGGGAGAATGCTGTATTAAACTGGAGCAGACTGGCCTTAAATGCCTCTGGGCATGGTGGCTCACACTTGTGATCTCAGTATTCCTGAGGCTGTGGCTGGAGGATCACCCTGAGTTTGAGGCCAGCTCGGACTACATAGTGAGTTCAAGGCGAACCTGAACCAACAAAAACAAAAGTCTGTTCTCAGACAGCATCAGTGTGGCTCAGGGCTTGCATCTGATGGGTCTCCCCAGAGGCCAAAGAGCTCAGGGAATTAGGAAGGCAGGCATATTCAACTTCAACTATCAATATAAAATTTCCTGAGTTGGCTGGGGATTTAGCTCAGTGGCACCTCACCTGCCTTGCAAGCACAAGGTCCTGAGTTTGATCCTCGGTACCAAAAAAAAAAAAAATTTGCTGAGCATGGTGGCACACACCTGTAATCCCAGGTACTCCAAAGGCTGAGGCAGGAGGATTTGTGAATTAGAGGCCAATTTAGACAACATGGTAAGACCCCATGTCAAAACAAAAAATTCAAACAGAATAAAAGCATCCTAGATCTTTAAAGTGCTGAGAATTTTAGGCATCATTAGTTCAACCTCTTCATTTTGCAGGCAAAACTCAAAAGAAGTGATTTCTCAAAGCCACAGAGGAAAAGAGAAACCAGAGTCCAGCCTCCTTGGCCAGTGAGTGCACTTTCACATTTCCTACCCCCACCAAAAGTTTCAGAATAAGGTTATGGAGAATGCAAATAATCTTTTAAAGTGTTTTAACTTATTTTTGTTTACTTTTCTGGTGCTGGGGATCAAATCCAGGGCCTTGCTCATGAGTTCAAGGCCAGCCTGGACTACATTAGCAAGAATGTGCCTCAGAACAAAACCAAACAACTACATGAGAAATAGAAATTGTGTTGGAGCCTGGTATGGTAGGGTATGCTTGTAATTCTAGCCATTTTCGACGCTGAGGCAGAAGGATAGAAAGTTCAAGCCCAGCTTGGGCAGTTTAGCAAGACCCTGTCTCAAAATAAAAAAGGTATAGGGATGTAGCTCAATATGAGGGACCTGGGTTCAAGCTCCAGCACTGCCAAAAAGGGGGAGTGGGGGGCTGGGGATTTAGTTCAGTAGCGCTGTGCCTGCCTGGCAAGTGCAAGGTCCTGAGTTCGATTCCAGATACCAAAATGGAGGGGGCGGGGAGTGGGGTACTGACTGAGCCAAAATTTCAGACCAGAGGTCTTGGGGGCAGAGTCCTGTGGAGACAGAGCCTAACAGGTCCCTTTAGTCCTCCAGGTCTTACTGGCTGGTGACAGCAGGTGGCTGGTGGTACTCTCAACATCAGGATGGAATGTTGTACCGCGATTCTGAACCAACACTAACTTTGAGTCAGACACTGCATACAAAGCAGATGACTGAATTTCAATGTGACATTAAAGTAGGTTCAGCCAAATTAAGTTATTTTCTTTTAAAAAATTTTTATTTTTATTTTTATTTTTTTTATTTTTTTGGTACTGGGAATCGAACTCAGGAGCTTGCGCTTGTGAGGCAGGCAGCGGAACCACTGAGCTAAATCCCCAGCCCTAAATTAAGTTATTTTCTAAAGAAAAATTGAAACATGGTTAAGAATAAAATGCACATGGTAAAAAAGGGGGAAAAAAGCACATGGAGGCCCAGAAAACAGTATTTTACCAAAGTTGTGAAATAAATCTCTATAGAGAAGTATTATTAAGAACATATAATTAGAAGTTTAAAAATGGATGGATTAAATGTGTAGGAAAGAATTCATGTAAGAAAAGCAGAACTCATTCACATTTTAAAGTCTTTATCTTGCAGAAGAACTTCCATTTTGGATGCAGCAAAAACAGAATACAGCCTGGGGAAAACTAATTAAGAATTCAAATTCATAGGCTCAGCTTCCTCCGAGGAAATCTATTGATTTGTAATTTGGCCTTGAATTTGACCTGTGGCCTTTCATGTCAAGATAATTTGGGTCAGTTTGAATACGTGATTCCTTGAACAAGGGCCTCTAATTTTAAATGAATGCAGCTGCCCTTTTGCCAATCTTGTATTTGCATTACAATATGTGGGAATAAATTCGCAACTAATAAGACATTTCCAGTAGGTGGTCAGACTGACAAAAGGAAGATTTATCTATTAAGTTTAAAAAGTCTTGTTTCATTTTTGCCTTTTTGGACATAAAAGGAAAACACTTTGTATTTTTAACAATCTTGGTAGAGGACAGGCTACAACGTCTTAAAAAACAAACAAGCAAACAACCTCAAATTCTATTTTAAATAAGAGTTTGATCCCCGGTACAGACAAAACAAACAAACAAACAAACAACAAATTAAAGAATAAATGCAGAAAAGTTTCTATCAGGCCTAAAAAATGGCTTTCTTTTTTCTCTCTGGGTCAATTTAAAGGAATCCTTTTCACATTTGAGTCAAAGGAAGGCTTGCACTGAAAAAAAGCCACAGAAAGCTTTGGCGGGCGCCCACCTCGCACATCTCTTGCACCTGACTGTACTTAACTGACAGTATATTGTCCAGCCCAGGGACACACAGGCCCTGCGGAGGGGCGCCAGGAAAGCTGTGTCACGGAGAAACAGGAGACAAAGAACTGGAGAGAAGGAATTCGGGGCGCCCGAGGAGGACGAGTTAGGATATCTGGAGTGCTGCTTGGAGTTTGATCTTGCTGCTTTCACTGCGTGGAATGTACCTTCTCCCGATTTCCACTGATGAAATTCTCATTCTCCAAGCCAGATCGACTCGTTACCTCCCATGAAAAGTTGTTCGTTTCTCCTGGGAGCCATCTCCCTACTCGTAGCAATGTTACCACCCCGGTGGAATAACAGCAGTAGTCTGATTTCTAAGTCCGAGTTAAGCAGGGCCTTTAATGTCACTCTAGGGGCTTTACAGTTCAGTTTGTAGTCCAGTGACTACAAAGTTCAGGACGAGCATGATCTAAGATCCACGTTAAGGTAGGTAGAAATAAGGTTATTGCACACTCCAATTTTTTTTTGTCTCCTTCCCACCCCAGTACTGGGGGTTGAACCTAGAATTCTTGTACTAAACTACATCTTTGCGCCTTTTTATTATGTATTTTGCCACAGGGTCTGGCTAAGTGACTAAACTGCCCCAGTCTGCGCTCGAGTTCGCAATCCTCCGGCCTCAGCCTCTCTAGAGTGCTGGTCTTTACTGGCGCGCAGTACCACACCCAGTTTGCACTTTTTCTTTTAACAGCTCTATTCAGCCCGCCGCCAGGACTGGGGGTCACTTTTGTTGCTTGTTTATAAAGGACACTGAGAAAGGGAGCGGGGCCCGCCCCTTACTCCTGACCTCAGGGCAGGACTGAGGGGCCGAGCGGATAAGGCGCGGCTCCCCAGGGCGCTCGAAGCCCGCAGCCCTTCCTCTTCCCGGAGGGGCGGGGCGCGCCCCTCGGCCACGCGCGCGG